AACATCTGGCTACCTTCTAGCAGAATCCATTCCCTTTCTCTCTACCATCGCCAGAAGCTCTCTCCTGAGGAGAACGGAGTCCTGTCTTGTGCCCCGCTGCACTCTGCCGCCAGCCAAGGTATCTCTGGGGTAAAACACCGCAGTGCTGCCTGTGGCCCAGCAGCGAAGGTCAGAACTGGCCTGGGCAGAAATAATTCTGCTTCTGAACATAGGTTTGGGCACTGCACTGAGTGTTATCACAGTGCTTGTTTCAGAACATGTTTGTAGTGTAGGCACATAGTTTGTGGTCGTTGGGAATGGGGCTGCGGCAGAGCCTCGTCCCCAATGGGCTACACCTGGGAAAAGCAGGTGAGCAGTGTTGAAGGTGATGAGCCATGGAGTGTCCAGGTGCACTGACCAACCACCAAAGGAACAGAGGGCACACAGGTGCAATGCATGAACATGAGAGGTATAAAAGGTTGGGCTAAAGAAAAAGAAGGACAGATCCTTGCAGCCTTCTGAGTGACACGTTGTTCTGTATGGGTTGAAGCTTTCTGAAACTGTATGGTGACACTGTGTATTGTGGCCCTCTTGACTGCAACATATGCTGTGACATATAGTTTATAGAAAATAGAGTTGGAAAGGACCTCATGATGTAATTTGGTCAACTCTCCCCAATAAACAAAACTAGGATCAGGTTTTGCTATCTAGAGCTAGAATCTGTCATGCCTAACGCTATCCTAAAAGACTTTCATGATGGAGATCTTACAGCCTGTTCCAAATCACCTTGAGTTAGTCCATACACCTTCCTGAATCAAAGTGGTAATTTCTGTAGGAATACTTGTATTCCTGCAGAACACAAAAGCAAAGATGCACACTGAAGACCACTTGACTCCAGATATTTCTGGCTCACAACTAAAGCATAAACCCCCTATGGGTAAAAGTAGTTTGCAAAAAAGTCTGCTTCAGGATTTGATTCCTTCCAGCTGCGAATGCCAGTCCTACAAAGTACTCTGTAAAGACACTGCTTGGATGTACTATGGTCCCTGGCTGCAACTCCTTTTGTGGAGAAGAGATGGGGCAGGAAGGAGGGAAGTTAAGTGAAAAGCAGTTTTAACTCCTTAATATCTTATTGTCCTGTAACTCAGAGCTACGTCTGGATGATCATGCACATCTGAGAAAGGTGCTGCTGGATGGGAGAGAGCCCCACCTCAGTCTGCACCATGAGGGGCCGGTGCATGCGGAGGTCGTACACCACTCCGTACACATCCACGGTGTTCTCCATCTCCATCTGCTGGATCAGGCGGTCGATGGCGATGAACGTCCCCGTCCTCCCGACGCCGGCGCTGCAACGACACGGACAGGCTGTTTGTGCTTCCTCCCAACCACCTGCTCACTGCTGGCACGACAAAAAGCCAGGCAAGCCAGGATGATGCCTCCTGCTGTTTCAGTGGCATGGGTAATAAAAGTCTCTGCAGCACAGAGGGGTGGCTCTCATGCACAGAATTTACATACTAGCTCTTGAAAGGACATTTTTCCAGCTCCGTTTTCCAGGCTAGGAGAGATGCTCTGTTCTAATGACATTTTCTATCACTTCCTCTGCTACCTACACAGCACTGTTAGTTTCTGAAGCACCGGGCAAAGGTTTTAGTTTGGCAAGGTAAATAGCCCATGTCCTTACACAGAGAGACTTACTTTGGTTTTAATCCCCTTGAAATGGAATTGACTGTAAAAAACCAGTCAAGACAGAAAGAGACTGTACAAGACTGTAAAAAACCACACAAGACAGAAGTGTGCCTAACAGAAACACCTTCTTCCTACCTGCAGTGCACCAGAGTGGGAGAGTCCACTGGATTCTGGCTGTTGTACTCATGGACAAGGTGCCTGAAGTTGATGAGAAGGTCTGTTGTCTCTGGCACGCCATGATCTGGCCAGGAGGTGAAATGGAACTGGCGCACTGTGTGGCTCTCGGGGGTGTTGGACTGCAGGAAGAGTAGACATTAAAAAAATTAACACAAAAGACAATGAAAATTGGCTTCAGAGTGGCAACAGTTGGGCTTCCTGACACATGTACTGGCCCAAGCTCAGCTTCATCAAAGATGCCTGCTACAACTGCAGTGATTTCACCAATGATATTCCAGTTTCCCGCTTCCTTCTGCTGTGGTAGAGAATACTTTGAAATAATTTCCTTGTACTATACTTCAAGCTCATATACACTGCATTGTATTTACTGATGGGGATAATTGTTTGGTCCAAAAGATATTAGAGGTATCTACATGAGCACAAGGTTTGTTTACACACTAACAACCAACAATCAAGGCAGTCCTCACCTTTTCTACAGTGAAGTCCCTTATTGTCCATTCTGGAAGGACAACTTCTGAGACCATTGTCACAATAATGTCACCATAGCTCTTGGGTTGTTTGTCTGGCCAGTACTGCTCACATTTTGTCTAAGAAGAGAATTAGACACATTGCACACAACAATGAAACAACTCACTTTTAAATAACCCACCACTTGAAGCAGGGCTAGAAAGTATGTCACTCTTCTCAAGGGTGACCTGCACAAATTCCAGGGCAAGAGACCATCTACTAAAATCATTCTTTAGAGAGAAGAGAAGAACACATCCTTAACAACAGTGATTCCACACCCTGCTGAGACAATCTACTCTGGCAGTCAGCAGATATAAAAACAGCAAAAAGCTAAAAAAAAAAAAAAAACAACAACCAAAATAATTGTGCTTTTTTAAATCTAGAAAACAGTCTTCCACCAAGAGGATGGTTGTTAAAAGACAATGGCCAGTCCCCAAATGGCTAAGATAACAACAAAATTAGAAGAAAGGCAGCCGCCTTCAAGAGACAATTCAGTATTGATAACAACATACCCGGGCTTGTTCCACACATTTTGTCAACATAACAATTGAATAGATACTCTTTTCCCAAATCATTTGCCAGAAGTCTTCTATAGTATTGGGTAATGGACCCTGTGCAGCAATAAATGCCTTCTTTGAATTATAGCCCTAAGAGGAAAAAAACAAAATAAATGTGCATATATATACACACACACAACATCAGTGAAAAATAAAGGCTTATTTTAAACATCATTATGAGCCCTTATGCCTACATCAGAAAAATACACATTATATTTCATTTCAGCTAATGAAGTAACTTACAGGCATATAGTTTGCATTAATATAGTCAGTTCCAGAGCTTTGATTTGAAAGTTTAACACGAGAAATATCATCTGCAGAAAGAAAAAAGGAAAAGACAACTATGAATTTTTGAACTGGAACCTTTCAGAACAATATTGTTTATCTAATACATGGTTTCTAAATAAAAGGTGTTCAATAAGCATTTTAAGAATAAGAATATAACCTTAGGAATCATAAATAGCAGCAGGCTTCAGGAAAAGGAGTGGCAAGGATAATCACTCAAGAAACACAGATTATTTTGGTTTTAAATATGGTTTGGTATTGCTAATTTATGTATTTTTATTCCAACACAAGATTTACTACAGTTTTAATTACTGGATAAAAAGAAGTGATTTGGCTCCTGTTGCCATGGCAGCCAATGTTTTTCCTCCAAAGCATCCTTAAGTACCTGTCACTGTTCAGTTTTCAATTACTTCTGACTCTCTGCTACATTGGGATGCCCACAGGCAGCTTGACAGGGCTTAAACTCTTACTTGATCTGCAAAGCTGGCCAGCAGGGTCTTAATATATCTCATAGCTTGCAAATTTATTTGTGTGTGGTCAACTGTTATCCTCTTGTGTTTTCAACCTGGACTGCACATTTCTCACAAATGGAAAATTAAAGCTATTTGCTTAAGGGAAGGTTCTTTAAAGAAGCTTTCCAAAGAAATATCCTTGAGGGAAGGCTCTTTCAGGTGTGTTTAGAAAATGACTTTGGGAAAGCAGCAACTCAAATTCATTCACCTGGAAAATGATATTTGAAACTGGGTACTATTAAAGCTGGATTAGCCAAACCCAATGGGTTTCACTTAAAAACTGAACCAGTAGAAGATGCAAACCCAAAGAGAATAACTCACATGGTAGGACGTTGTTGTATCTATTTTTCCCCCTGTTCTCAGGAAGTTCAGCAGCAAATTTGGGCTGATGAACACCAGCAGACTTGAGTTCCTACAATAAAAGGAGGATTCATGAGCACCTGATCCTGGTTTAGCAATCATACAGAAATGAGACAAACAGAAAAGTAGTCCAAACCCTTGTGTCCTGTGCTGTAAAAGTAGGCATGTTAAACTGGGATAAATGTCAATAAAAATCATCTTGTTACAGAGTGGGAGGGTGACAGTGGCAAATCTTTTAGAGAAGGGATTAATACAGAATGGAGGAATAGCAGCATGTTTAAAACCCACAGATGGACTTTAAAAGCCTGGAAACAATTTTGTGGAAACAGACACTGATATCAATGGCAGCATCCTCCCTGACACTTCCTTCCTGTCCTTTGTTCCTTACAGCAAGTGAGCTTTAGCACATTTCATTGAAAAACTCTTATGGTCAGTAAGCAAATCATAATTGCTGTTTCTCTGACTGAGCTATTCACAGGTGTGGTTTGCAAATCACACCCACGCACTGAAGAAATCAGTGACATTAGCAACAGACCTGCCTTGATATGTATAAAAAAACCCACAACAACCCAAGATGAGAAAACTGAAGTGCAGAGAAATTATACAGTGTGCCCCAGGCTAAGTCTGCATATGACTAGGGCAAAAATTTCTCTGGTGAGAGCTCTGACAAGCAGGCCATGCCACAAGGCCACGGTCAGAGACAATAATTCAGGACAGGAAGTATTTATCATGCACTTCAACTAAATTCAGAGCTGCATAAGGGAAGGGAAGGCTATACACTCAGCTTAATCATCTCTATAAAAAAAGGACCCTTCTTTTCTCCTTCTGTAAGCCTTGTGCATGCTCCACAGGAAAGATGATTTGTCTTTCCAAAAATATTTGTCATGAAGCTCTCTCCCCAGTGAGGGCACATACCTCATACTCTTCAGCAAAACCACAGTTGGAGTCAGCTTGCTGCTTCTTAAAGTATGACTCAAAGTTCTCCACTTTAATCATTTTTGATCTAAAATGAGAAAAGCCACATGTAAGCAACTGGTGTTAGGTAAATAAGCCATGAATTAATTCAGTTAATGTGTTAGAAAGTATGCTTTACTTACTTCTTGATTCTTCAGGAGAGAGTGAGGGGAAGAAAAAAAAGCTGATTAGACACATGCAGTTGTATTTTTCATTATGTGAATCTAAGACTGAAAGCATGACTGTTAGTGGCAGCCACAAAACAGTGCATTTACAGGGGACAGGGTATCAAGCATAGCATTTAACTGCTCTGTTAAATCAAGGAGAGAACATTGCATCTTTCAGAAGAGGAACATCACACAAGCTGCTTACTCCCACTGGATTGACCCCATCCCCTGGTGTATTTTATGCCAACCATCAAGTCTACAGAGGTGGGATCCCATGGCATGTTCTGGCCATGGCTTTCCACCAGCACAAATTGGTGCCAATAACATGATTCAGTTGCAGTGCCTGTGACTTCCAATATATTGTGGTTACTCCCTCCATGGCCAGCTTTGACAATCACAACTTTATCTGGATGAATGGCTCAGCACAAAGTATTCATTAAAAAAAAATTCAGATCACAGACCATATTTTGCTGTTTTGCATTTTATCAACAATTTTGATTGCTCCTTCAATGTGCATGAAATCTGTTTCATTCAAACCCTGTTTTTCAAAACCATGTGGAGCATTTGTGTGTCCAATAGTGATTCATGAAGTGAACACTCAGATCTCTGTGGTGGCTTTAGAAGTCTTAATCAACATGATTATTTTTAGTCTGCATGCTGGCATCTTTCAGTTCCACCAGGAATTAATACTTCAAAATTCTCTATAAAACTGCACAGAAAACAAGTATCTGAGTAATTTTTGCAAATATCACTTAAGCTCAGAAAATACCAGGAGAAAAGATATGGACTTACTTAATTGGAGAAAAAGACACTTCAGTATTTCTTTTATCTTTCCTATAAGGTGAAAGAAAACAACACAGGTTTGCAGTGGAATTCAATGGAATTTATACGAAATTTCTTATCTGTTTCCTTGTGCCTGTTGAGAACAATTTCTTTTAAAGCATCTTATTCAGTGAAAAAAAAACCCCTAAACTCCTGAGGCAAACTTTTACACCTGGAATTAAAAAAAGGCAACAAAAAACCCAACAAAAAAACCAACCAAACAAAAAACTTCACCCTTCTTTTAGTGATTCTGTCCAATGGGACTACTTCTTTCTGTTGGAACTAGAGCCTGGACACAAAGCATGTATTTTGGCGGAAAATGTACAAATGAAGGATCTGCACCACCAACTGATAACTCAGGAGAACTGCTGCTGGTCCCACAATCCCTACAGGAAGTGCTCAACAGCCATGTGTCAGTCATTCAGTGGTAGCTGAATGAAAAGAAATGTTGCTAAGCTTTAAAGGAAGCTCTTCCCAAGGTTGTACACAGCTATTGGACACAACTGTAAAAGTAACAACAGTTACTTAAAGCAACTAAGAAAACTGCACTAAGGGCCCTTTGGCTAACTCGACATAAAGGATGGTCAGAAGCAGGAAAAAGCCTTTGTGCACTCTTACATCCCAGATGATTTGAACAAGGCTGGAAACAGAGACCAGCTCAAACTCATCAGCTGCTGGAAACTCCACAATAGAAATTTCATGTGACAGGCTATCAAGCAATTAAAAAGAATGACTGATGGATAATTTAAAATCAAACCATCTAAGGTACAATTATACCAAATTACTTTTAGCACAATAATTTGAGATGTTTGCTCACTTGTGATTGAATGACTTCATCACCATTCATGAATGGTGAGACACTGGCACAGGTTGCCCAGAGAAGCTGTGGATGCCCCATCTCTGGCACTGTTGAAGGCCAGACTGGAAAGAAGCTCTGAGCAACCTGGGATAGTGGGAGGTGTCCCTGCCCATGGAAGGGGGTTGGAACTAGATGATCTTGAAGGTCCCTTCCAACCCAAGCCATCCTATGATTCCACAATTCTGTTCTATGAATTAAAATTTATTTTGTTTAGCTCTTCCCAACTCATAGTTTGTAACTATGGGCTTAAACAAAGTTATGAAACAAGTGGTTTGATACTTCAACTCTAATCTGTAACAAACAAACAACAGTTTAATACAACACATTTTAAAATATCTTGACAGCCATGTATCATGACAGACAGAGCCCTTTTTAGGAGAAAAATACTGAAGTCAAACACTGGTGCTCCTCAACACAACCAACACAGAACAAACACACAGTACCTTCTCCTTCTCCAGAATATGAATCCCCCTACAGCAACTACAGCCAAGATAGCCAAGAGGCATCCAATAACCACTCCTGCAATAATACCTGATAAAAGAGAAAAGGTATTACTCATTGTCCTCTTCAGTAACACCTAACTGAATCAACATGCTACAGCAGAACTTTGCAAGTGAGTAATTGAGCATGCTTCACTCTACTAAAATATCTTGTCTTTACTGTCCTTTGGCAGTACCAGTATTGAAATCTCCTTAAGAATAATAACCAGAGAATTTTAAATTAATACAAAATTGGGATCAAAGGACCAATATCTGCATTTCAATACACCTGCTTCTAGTTTAACAGAACTGTCAAAGTTGCTATTTGCCACTTGTTGCTACACCAAAGTTTCACTGTGGCATCCAATCCCTTTTAGCATGCCATGGCTGTTGGCTACTCCTGTGGTGGAATCCTACATGGAAAAAAAGTACCTGCAGAACTAGTAAGGTATGAGTTTACAGAGCAGTGCCACTGCAAAGCTAGAAAGAAACAGTTCATACAGAGAAACCAACAGGTGTTTTGATATTATGAAACTTGCCACAATGAAGGAATCTCCACATGCTGTGTATGTGCCAAGCTGCCAGTCCTACATTTGACATCAACATACCTGGATCCTGGGGCAGTAAGACTGGTTCAGAGCAGGGTGAAAATGATACATAACTGTCTTCCCCCTCAATCACATCATCCGAAAAGATTATGTTAGTGAAACCGGCAACACACGCCCTGTTGAAAAGGAAGGAATAAGAAAAAAAAAAAAAACAAAAAACAGGTACATTACAGGGTTTTAACAGCCTTTAAAGCAAGATCTGTAATCTTTCCACTAGATGATCTTCTAGGTTTCAATAGCAGAAAACTTATCAAAAGGGTGGTTTGAAATAAATACCTGTATGAACGAAGAGGGATCAATGGTCCGTTTTCGTAGCCATACATTGTGTTTCCCTTGCCTACATTGATGATGTTTTTATCACTCTGAGAACGGGAAGAACGTGAATCTGCCTGCTCTGCTTTTATGACATATGTAACATAGGCAGTTGTTGTCTTCTTCTTGAAATCTTTGTATGTGTTGTTCAACTTAGACTTCAAAGACTCAGAACCTTCAGGAAACAACAAGAACATGGATATAATTCATCCCCTGGTTTTCTATCAATTGGCACAGTGGCTGAGATTGTCACATGAACTACAATTGTTATTCCTCCACAAGTACTGCTTGAAATGAGTGGCTGAGAGCAACAGATAATCTCAGAAACCTCTTCTACTGCAGTGCAATCTACTGCACCACCCAGCACTATTTGTTTTAATTTGCTATTGGTTTTACTTCTAACATGTATAGGAGCTTATGAATAAAGGTGCATTAATGCTGGAACCAGGCATCCTCATGGACAGATTTCACCAGGCAAATCAGCTTTATCCATGTGTGTTCTATCCATTCCTGTATGTAGAGAGTAAAATACAAATGGTGTAGAAAAAAATTCATCAGTATTTGTGCTACCCAAAAAGCATCAGGCCTTATTCAGGGTGGCACTAAACTCGTCCTGACCTTGTTATATCCTACAAGAAGTCTCACACCTGAACTGTAGGAGACAAAAGAGGTTATTTTTGCCTTCCCTTGATATAGACAAGCACTGGACAAGACAATGATCAGAACAATTTCCCCTTCAGAAGATTAAGAACAGGCTGCCACAGTGAGCAGTGACCAACAGGACACCATTTGCAGAACAGCATCACTTTCCAGTGTCTGTTCTTATAGCAGACAAACCCTAGAATCTTGAGGCAATTATTCAGTTGAGGCACATGTAACCTAAGAGGTAATAATAAACTCAACTTATCAGTTGTCCCAACAACTCAAGAGCAAACGAACTGACAAATCTTCCCAGTGCTGAGGCTGGACAAAGAATCTCACTCATTTGACAGAAGTTTGCTCTCTACTGACTGTCTTTACAAAGCTAAAAGGTCCTTCTAAAAGTGGGTATAATACTGAATTCACCATTAAAAAGGAGAAGCCTTCCAGGAGGTTCTGAAAGGCGGAAAAGCTCTGACAAGTTTTCTAGAGCTGTGCAGACAAGGGGCGATCTACCACCAGCAGCAAAGCTCTCCTCAATTGTAACTCTGTAGGAACATGGTGCAACACAACTCTTCTGGAGCACTAACTTGGTCTCACTAAAACCAGATGAGGTTGCAAATAACTCAGCTGCCTAGAAATGGGTGTTTAATACTACCTGAGGTATGTTATGTCTTGTCTTGTCCCTAGTTTGCTTTCCAACAAAGGGTACATCCCTGGTTCTACCTGCAGCTCCTCGTAGGTGCCTTGAATACCACCCTACAACATTTCAAACAGCCTTAGACAACAGAATAAAGCATTGTGGATTTCTTACACAACAGAGTAAATTCCTCTCTGTCTATCCTAAAGGCAACCATGACTGGTTTAGAACAGAGAAACACATCTCAAGAATATTTGTGCTATTTCAACAATAAGGCTGAAGAGATGCTTGGCTGTGAGGCTGTCTTCTGCTCCCACCAAAGCACTCACTGTAAACTACAGATGTGGGCAACCTTCCTCCCTTATTTCTCTCAGTCTCATCCTAGAAAGTCCTCCTTGAATATCTTCCAATCCAAACCACACAGAAGAATACACCAGATCTCCTTGTGACTAACCAGCACTGGCTGAAGTTATAAGCAGAGCTGCAGACAAGAGACTGGCATTCAAATCAGCAATTCTGGGGCAGCTGGGTAGGCATGTGAAAAATAGGAATTTTCTGCACTGATGTGATGTAACACACACACACACACATATACACACACCCACACAAACATGCATTTCTTGGATATGTATTGCATGGAAAACCACTGAAGGAAGATCTATAATCAAAATTGTGTAACATGAATTTCCAGTGTTGTAACAAAGGGTAAGCATGACTGTGAACTCCCACTTAGCAGAAACTGTCTCCATGAGATGCCTCATTCCTCCAGTGCATGGGCAAAAATGAACAGTTGTTCAAGTGGAACCTATGCTGCAAAACTAAGTTCCTTTATTTAGTGTTTTATCACCAGACATTCGCCTATCAGAGATATTTCTCAGTTCTCTAGTTTTCCATAGAATTTAACTTCCATTAATGCTGTCAATGATATTTAAGCCTTCCACCCACATCCCATCTCTCTCAGTTAAAGTATTTTGGGTAAAATCAGGAATAAAAAAGCTCTTTTCCTTTTAAGACCTTACTGCAGGCATCTTTCAGCTGAAGAAGAAAGGGGGAAGAAAATTTCATATTCCAAAGCTGCTTCAATTAGCTGGTCTGAAAATTATTCTGTGGGGAAAGAAAGGACACTACACAATCTTGGGGAAAGGAATCACTGGCAAATCAAGGTGACAGCAGCACAAAGGCAATACATAAGAGATTTATGTACAAAGATAAGTCAGGAAGGAAAAGGCTGAGTGGAAACAGGCACCTTCTGAAAACAATGAGTGACCTGACTTTAAGCAAGGTATCTGCCTCATGATTTCTGAAAAGTGATTGAAAATTCTGAGCCTGCCTTTTCTTTATGTTTAACCCCTACTTAGAGTGTAAAACATAATGCCGCCTAGTAAACTGTTAGCTGAAAACATCACAAACACCTTACTTTGATCTTCTGTTGTAATCATTATTGCATAGGCTTCCAATGGACCATTCAGTGAATCAAAATCAGAGAATTCAACAGACAAAGAGCTGTGACTGACGGCCTTGACTGAAGGAACTTCGTTTGGAGGAGGTGGGTCTGCCAACAAAAACATTTTTTAGTACATTAAGCACTGATAAAAATTTTCCAAACAAGAAAAGGCTATGATGCCAACACTGTTCACATAAATGCATATTTATTGTGCATCACAATAAATCACTATGAATTAATATAGTGTTCTATTCATATTCTGCAGGTTGATAATGTAGTGCATACCAAGTCTGGTATTCTTCAATCATGAAGTTAATATTTTTGTCCTATGAATATCTTTCATGCTTGGATCTTAATGCTTACCAGTAATGCTGGTGTGACACAAGTTGTCCACTGCAGAGCTTGCAGAGCCATTTTGAAGAGTCCTAATATTAACATTATAGGTGCTGAAAAAACTTAATAATTCTATTGTGAGGTTTTGCTCGACGCCTTCTCCCGTGCAGCGTGGAGCCGTGTCTTCTCTCACTACCTCAGAAGTACTTATATTATATATTTTGATACTGAAGCCAGAGTTGTTACCAGAAGGACATTTCCACTTCAGCATTAGGCAAGGCTGCTTGGCCACTGGCTCACACTCAAGTGAATCCACTGAGACAGGAACTGCCAAAAGAAAAACGAATAACAAAAAAGAAGGAGTATGAAATCAAGCCTTGCCCTTAGAAAAAGCTGTGTATTTGTATGTTATGTGTATAAATGCTTGTAAAACTTCAGTATTCCTTCCCCTTTTAAAAAGATGCCTACATGGCACCTACTGCCTACACAAGGACTTGTCACCTATGAGGAAGACAACTATTTAACACAATACACAGACCTATTCTGTGCTCTTTACCTCCTCTACAGACAGGGTTACTGGGAAAATTTAGGCTGATTATCTAGTAAGATCAGCAACATTTTCAAAATACTGTTCAACCCTTTAACATATTACTCTAAGAACATTTTAGAGTATTACGTAGACTGCCACTAAATCCCTCTATAATTATGTAAAACTCTTAGGGGTGAACACATAACAAAATTAATTTAATCTCTGTCCATTAAGAGCACAGCAGTAGCCATCCTTAAAAGCAGCAACTATAACAAGTCATTTTGGGTGAGAGTCTTCTCAGATGTAGTATAAAAACTGCAACCTTATGACTAGATAGAGAAAGATACTTAAAAAGTAAAGCAGCAGGAAGACTGAGAAGAAAGGTTCCCCTAACTAAACATCTTGTAAAACTTGGCCTTCAGGACCAAAACACTTATAAATCTACAATTACAATACACACTTAATTTATTTCCTCTCTCAGTAATGAAGTATTTGGTACTGTCAAATACAGGGGTTATAGACTCACCTATTAAATTATTTTGTTGTTAGAAGGGGTATTATTTTAAGAAACTAAGGAGAAGCACAATTGTGTACCAGAAGAAATAGATTTAGTAAAACTAGATGTGAGTGACTAGGGCTTACTTCTACTGCAATTTATAAATATTTTTCTTCAGTAACACTGTCAGCTACTCCTACAAAAACAGTGAAAATACAGGAGATTACAGACAACCCCTGAAACACCTCTGACACTTGGTGACAATGGATGCCTGGTTTGTAAAGGACTCATGACTTTTGATGTCTATCCTGTAGGAATAGTTAGATGAAGTATCATCAGTGCTTCATAGGAAATGTCAGAGGCCAGCATACTCTACCCTGATAAGGAGAAAAATGCTGGGCTCTGTGAAAGTCATGAGAAGATTCCAGAAACTCAGCCAAGCAGCACTTTTAGAGCACCAGCAACTCTCCAAGTTCATCGAGAACCCCTTTGGAAAATCCACTCAGGAGATCTGAGCCAGATGAATTTTGCCTCAGTCAACATGGGATAAAACAAAGGAAAGGAGAAGGCAGCACATCATCACAACAAGGAGGAAAAGTCACAATGCCTAACATGAGGAATGCAGAAATAACTTAGCTTTCTGTCTGCTGATGGGCTGAGCAAAGCAGCAGGGCTGACAGCCACACCATCCTGTGCTGCCCAAGATCAGCTGCATCCACAGGCCCTCCAAAGGGGGAAGTTCCCCAGGCACGATGCAGACTCTGTGGGAGGCCTTCCAAATGAGAACCTAAGGGCTTCACCCAGAGGAAACAGAGGGCAACAAAACAAACTGCAAGGGTCAGCCTCCCACACATTAGCATTGCTGACTCCAGGTACCTTTGTGCAGCACTTCTGCCAAACATAATATTGTATTTCAAACCCTGGGCAGGTGGGCAGAGCCCTGTGCTCCACAGCAAAGCACAGGCTACTAGGAACAGGGATGTGAGAAACCATGACTTACATGTATACCGGTCTATGGACACTCCTTCTCCTTCTGTCTTATTATCAGCTGCTACAGCAAATACCGTGAAGTTGTACAGTGTCCCAGGGATTAAGTCAGTAATTTCTGCTTTGGTTTTATTAGATGTCAC